CGAATGAGAAAGAAAACAAATGAATGTATCTTTTATAGCTATATTCAACAATGTGCATTACGGAAAAATATTTCCATTGTCGTTTATATTGACCTCAAATAATGAACAAGAATCTTTTGTTATATGGTGAGATGAGAACGACGGATTGATCATTCTGATTCATAGGGCAATGTATTAATCACGTAACTGAAATCGCTTTTTTCTATTATTTTGGGTTCTCCGATGTATTCGACGAGCAATTATTCGTTGAATAGAGTAGCGAACATGCAAGAGAAAAATATCATCTTAGACTATGTCATTGCAATTTGTGATAATTTTTCAAAATAACACCACTTTTATTTCTTCTCAAAATAAATCAATAATTAATGGCAAGATCTTGATTTTATCACAACTATAATCACATTTTATTTTCGTTATTTTCTTTTTATAAATCTAAATTTTAAATATTTAGATAATCAAAATGCCAAAATCTTAACGATCACAACGTATAACAATATCAAAATCTTCAAAAAATTAAAATCAAATCGTGATCTTGAATTAAAACAAGAGTTAGTAAAAAATACTCGCTCACATCTTTATGAATGCTCACATTTGTTTGTTGTTCTTCTTTATAATGAACATACAGATAAATTACAAACAGTTCGTGCACATTTTGCACCATCAGAATTTCAAGCAATTCAAGGAATTCAAGCATTTCCAGGGAATTCGAAGGTATTCAGAGAAAATGATGGAATTCAAGTAATACCTAACCCTAGACATCATCGTTGAAACATGTCTGAGAATTCAAGGAATTGAACCAAATTGAGTGAATTCGGAGAAAATCAAAGAGTTGAATGTGTTGTGATACCTAGGGGAACAGGCTGCTGCAGTCCGTTTCTTTTTGATGACTTCGTGGCAGTGAAAGCGGATTGCATTATTGTAACTGGTTCTATGTCTCATAGAGGGAATTTGGTTTTCCGCTCTGCAGATACTGATGTTTCTAAAAAGGGGGAATGAAGAGAATTCCTTGTGCTGGTGTTGTGCTCCGTCCGCCCGAAACTGTATCTTCGATTTCTGTAGTTTCCATGCAGCTCAAAGATGGGCGTTGCTAGATGTAAATGGTCCGCAACCGAACGATGCATGGAAGAAGGTTCGATAAACGTGGCTAACAGCAGCATATATCAGATGTTGATATCACTCAAAAGCTACTGATATTGCCTTCCCCACATCCGCATCAAGCGAAGTGCGACGCGAGTAACAGCGCGCGCCCACATATCGCTGGATGCGATGTAACTTACTCACCGCAGGCATACCTGCCATGATGGTAGATACTGTTATAAACAATGAGATTGGACAGCGCACACACACACACACACACACACACAT